AATAATAATAAATAAATGAAAATAATATCGAGCTCTCATAGGTTTGAGCTAGCGGCAAAAGAATACTCGCTAAAATAACAAATTCCATTTAGAACAATAACAAAAATCGACATCTTTCTTTCGATTCCTGAAAGATTTCTGCAACTTAAGCGACCTAGCTCACCGCCTCGACCATAATAACTCAAGGAACCTTTATTTGGGAGAGTCCAAAAAAAATAACATATAAGTCAATTAGAATTGCAAGGGACTTGCCATTAAGATGGAAGAGTCACTCTCAAGTAGGGAATTCTATTTAGCATTTTATTACTCTTCTTACATAAAAATTATGTACGAAGAGCGCAGTGCTAAACAACGTCACCAGTGTTGTGATGAATCGAACACGTTGGTAGTAACGTGAATAGATAAATCATGGGACAATTTTAAGCAAGTGCAGCTAATATAATCACTTGCCAACATCTGAGACTGAGAGACTGTTGTTAAACATTTACAGATAAAATTTTAACCGAGTTGAACATTCTTTTGTCACTCGCTTACAAAAATACAGACTTAATACAACTATATAAGTATAGATCAGTATATTATTTTTATTGTTTAAATTATTATGTGAGGCACATAAATATACGCTGCAACATATCTGAGGTACATACACAGGGTGACTGCCTAAAAAGATGATTTTTAGGATTTTCTTGAACGAAACCTGAAAAACGTTTTAAAAAATTGAGTTCCACCCAAAATTTGGGTCATTTTTGACACGCCAAAATTTGATTTTTGATCAGATGAAAAAACTACTGCAGAAGTATGTTTATAAGATAGTAATCGGTAATCGATTTGTCTTCGAGTAATCACTGCAGCAAATTTGAAAAATACTGATCCGAAAAAAACGCGCTTTAAGAGCTTATATGCATGTTTGAAAAGTCGTTCATAGTGGAAGTACAAGGACAAACTTTAAACGCTTTTTTCTTAAAATGGTTTTTCAAAGTCGGTGACAAGCATTACTCGAAAACGGCTAAACAGATTAGTCTCAAATATTAACACGAGCTTGTTAAAGATATGTTTTTAGTAATTAGTCGAAGATTGTTTTCACCGATAAATATTTTATTATAAACAATTTAAGGCCGAAATTTTGGTCAAAAATCTATTGTTTTTTTAGAAACCGTCATTTCGTCAAAAACGTTTATGTTGCTTGTTCCTACGACTAACTACTAGAGCTTAACATTACTTTAACGTAATTTGTTCGTTTTTTTAATTTCAGACGATTCCGTTCAGAGATATAGTGTCACTGCAAAACGTCGTTTTTGAGAGGAGCTCCCGGAGCTCAGCTGTAGTTGCTTTCCAAATAAATATTTTTACTAATGCTAAGTCTTAAAAAGCAGTTAAAAGATAAAATGTTTTGATCAATAAAATTAAAAAAACTCTCCGAAAATTCAAATCTGGAAAATTAGCTTTTTTCGGCTAACTGCATTTAAGCTGACTGATTAAGCTGGTTTAATTGGGTGGTTACATTTCAAAAGGCTGTAACTCAAGAACTATTGAAGAAATCTATTTATGTTTATAATATGTTATTTTTAAAGTTATATATAATCTGTCGAAATATGAAAAAAGATAATTTTTTTCAAATTTCGAACCCGGTGTGCTCCTTAAATACATTACAGGTGCTACGACTACTAAACGATATAGATATTTTAATCGTAAATCCACGTAGTACAGAAATTAAGCATTTATTACTTTCGTAACGGTATTTATGTGTCTCATTTGCTTCATGAATGCAAATTCTTCGTTGCTCGCTTTTTCTTAGAAATTTTATTTATTTGCTTAAAAACTCGAAAACTTAAAAAATAATTATGTAATTAAATAATTTAAAAACTTAAATAGGCATAACTACAAAAGTAAAATTAAATTTTYCTTCCACAACAACGCGTGTACTCGTATTAAACAAACCGCTATACATATATATAAATACCGATGTCTTAAACGTTTCAGCAAATTGATTTTTCTACAATAAATTGCTGTGTTTCATTGTATGTTATATTCTTAAAAAAAATGCATGTGCAACACTGGCTAACAATTAGTTTTTGGTCTTTTAACGCTTCGTTTTCTTTTTTCTCTTTTTGTTTTTTGGAATGTTGCGTATGGAGTGTCTTTTAACATTTTTGTTTTTGTTATTATTAAATTTACTTGTTAACATATTTATAAATACATCTATATGCAATTAATTGTATTTTSTTTCAATCTTAATATTGTGTATGTTTATATGTGGGTATGTATGGTATATATGTAGTATCTAATGCGTGCGTTGCGTTGAACCACTCATTGTGACTGGCAAGTTAACTGGCAACAAATGATCTTCATCAATATATGTAGTATGTAGGTATGTAAGTATTTATATTCGTTCATGTAGCTATAAAACATTTCCTGGGCTTATTCATGCGCCTGCGACTCTTGTTGCACCAGCTTGAAGCGTCGTGGTGACTTTATTGAGCCTCGGGAGAGTGACTTMAGTTGGCCTTTCTGCGCCAACGTTTTGCATATGTAACGCGAAATGAGCGTTTGMGGCCGATTCTGCCATTCGTGCATTACCTCTTTGGGTGCGTTTACCTGAAAATAAATTAATTTATTAGAATTTAGTTCATTATAGCTGGAACAGCGTATCTACAGTTCGACACGAAAATTGCAACACTYAGCAATACACAACGTCGGGTGTTTTTACATGGGTACCTGCCCTGTTGCAGCCTATTCAAAGAGTACTCAAGAACACAGCGGATAAAAAGCATTGCCGTGATCAGAGCGGCAAACAATGCAAGCATTATTTGGTATCAATTTGGAGGGAATGAACAGATATTCCACTTCGGTTTGGTTCGAGGACTTTCTAAAAACGCTACCATACTCTTTGTTGAACTGATGCAGCATCAGTATTTTGGTACAAGAATTTAGTCTCCAATCAGACCTCTTARCCAGACCTGCTTCCAGTTTGGGTCTCATTCCTGATTTTTAACCCAGAATGAAACGTCAGATAATTATCAGCGTGACGAGCTGAGTCTATTTAGCTATGGCCGTCTGTCTGTATATACGCCAACTACTTCCGCAGTTATTAATGGATTATAAAGTTTTGATCCTGACGTGATATTCATCAAGTGCCAAATATTGGAAAAGGCTTGTGAAAAGGTGATCGACATACACCTCTACGATTTCAAAGCTGGTTTTGACATAGCACGAAAAGGAGCTGCCACTATGTCTGAATTTGGTAGACCCGCAAAACTAATACGACTGTGTAAACTGACGTTAAACAAAAGCTCTATCAGGATCGAGAAGGACTTCTCCGTGTAGTTCGATACCAAACGAGGTTTCGGACAAGGCGACTCCCTATCGTGGGATCTACTGCTGGAGAGAATAATAATAACGAAATATCTCCTGTCATCAAGCAAACAGTCCTCGTACTCTTGACATGTCTTACACGTCACTGTTGACAGTTTACATTTCGAAGTCGTAGATAATTTCGTCTATCTTGGAACCAGTATTAGCACCAACAACAATGTCAGACTCGAGACTCTTGCCAACAGGTGCTACTTCGGACTGATTAGGCAACTGAGAAGGAAAATCCTCTCTCGACGAACAAAAACCAAACTCWATAAGTCACTCATTATTCCTCTCTGCACCATAGGCATGGATGATGACAATATCTGATTTGTCGACATTACGAGTTTTCGAGAGAAAGACTCTGCTGAAGATTTATGGTTCTTTGCGAATTTGCAACGGCGAATACYGCATTCGAAGGAACGATGAGCTGTACGACTTATATTAAGAGACAGCGKCTACGCTACTAGGTCCACTCCATTGGAGAGATCAGGTGGAGAAGGACCTAGATTCAATTGGTATCTCAAATAGGCGCCAAATTGCGAATTAAGCAAACGACTGGTGGCTATAACCGCGTAAGCGTTGACGACGCCGGTAAAGAAGAAAAAGAAGTTTTGATCCATATGTAATTTCTGTGAAACTCACTTGATCACCATTTAGACGATTTAATAGCGCAACGCATACGACTGCCGCCTTAATGCCAGCATGATATGTAAGTGCAGCGAATATGGTGCTCTCCATTTCGATGTTGACCACACCTTTGCTGCTCAACATCTCCAAATACTCCATTTTATCGGTTTCGGTGAATTCGCAGAATGCGCCATCCAAACGACCTTGACCTACAAAATGATAAAAAAATAAAATAAAATAATAATTCCGATTCATTAGTAATATCAATCAATAATTCTCCATACCTTCATAGAAGTCATTTGTACAGAGAGTTTTGCCGATAATCGTGTCATAAGGATCATCCTCACTGGCAAGCGCTTTCAGCTCACGTGCCAGTTTCTTATCTAATTTGGCAGGTCTCAAAACAGTTTTGCCCAAAATTGTCTAGAAACAAGTAAATTTTTTTTAAGCACGTCGTTATTTCAAGTAATTTTCAAGGGAATTTTTACTTACAAATTCGTGCGCATTCCGCATATGGCTATCGAGCGCTTCTTCGGTGATGATAACAGTACCCCCCTCAACTCCAACACCACCACAAGTGCCAATACGTATAAATATGGGGTCTTGACACTTGGCGTGATACATGAGTTTGATCAATTCGTGCAACAATATGCTGACAGAGGGTGTTCCCATGCCGTGACTAACACAAAGCACTGGACCTACTTTGTACATTGAGTAGCGATATGAATAGGCGCTGATGTCTTCCAATTTTGTACCGGCGGGTAATTTATAACCAATTTCACCCATAATGAAATGTGCAAAGTTTTCCATACGCTTTGGTGTTCCGCCCATGCAAACAAACTGAAAGTAAAATATAAGACAATTTTTAATTTTAATATTTAAATGAAAACTAATTTTGAGCATAATTGAATAATGCGGGTTTTATGAATTGTAATGCCTTGCTTATTCATGTGATTTCTCCAGAGAAGTTGAAAATWTTTTAGTCACCGAAGTTCGGCACTCTATCATAAAGTTAAGGGAGAAACCCTGTTTCCAATGGCAAAATCGATACTGAAGCAATAACTATCAACCTGATAATATATTTTCTGATGATTATGTTAGCGTAATTTGACTTTTTTCCTTCTTTCTACACTATGATACTCGCGGGTCGATTGACAGGGAGCCAAAAAAATGGAAAAATCACGTATACGAGAAATCTTCTACAGATCATTTCGAACAACTTTGCTAAAAAGACTATGGGTCTAAAATCGGTTTCGAGCCAGCGATTCTTAAAGTGAAGTTTTTTCTAGATACAATTTTTCGTAAGTTTTTGAGATATCCGAAGGAAATTTAATACTTAACTAGATAGATTTTAATATTCTATTGATCATATATCGGAATCAACCAGATTGGACAACTATGTCACATATCTGCAACACAAAGATTTTTCAGACTATTTTAACTTTCCCATAAAAATCGCTGACTTGGAATCGATGTTAGACCCATAGTCTCTTGGGAAAAATTGTTGAGAATGATTCGTAGCATATTTCCCACATACGCAATTTTATAGAAATAATTCGTCCCTCTCTAACTCACTATATCACTTTTCTTCATCTTGACAAACTGRCGAAGTAGTACAAAATTCCGTCAGTTAACGACCCGAATGAAGTTTGTACCAATACTTTATACTCTAAATACGATCTAAATAACAGAGCTGAAGGAAATCTTAGATCCCCATCTAGCTGAACTCAGCGAGAGCGTAAGAGAAAKGTTGTTGATTAGAAGGCAGTCGCTGGTAGTATCCTTTTTTCTTTGAAACGCGAATGAAAAATATACTAGTAGACCACCAAATTGATAATATAACATTGTAAAACAGAAATTTTGCGAATAATGTCTACTGTTATAATATTACCCAAATTATGTACGCCGGCGAGCCATGTCCAAAGAGAATTAAAATGTATTTAATGGAACACTTGAATAATCCAATTTTATACATATCATTCATTAGAAGCTGGCTTACAATCATGTTCTTGATATCAGTAAATCTTTCCAATTTCTTCAGTTTTCTAAAACTTTCTGGAGGACGGAGCCATGTGTAGAAGTTCACACAAGTGAGGAAAGTTCTCTGAGCGCCAATCACTTCGAAGTGGCCAGAAAGGATTCTTTTCAGAACAGCCTCGGCTGATCGTGTTAAATGTTACGATTTAGTAGCATGCACCTGGAATATCCAATCGCTTAATTGCGCAGGTTTCTCTGCCCATCTGCTTGATGTCCTCGTAAGAGTTTTCGTCGATTTTAGAGCCACCATCGATAGCACGAAAATAAATTGTCTCTAATCTGCTAGGTCTGAACTTGGATACCAAAAGAGGTTTCAGATAAAGAATGGAACGTTGGGCAGTACGAGATATACGGCGACATTGACATAGACCAGCGAATTACGCCGTAGCCACTGTCTTACGCTGGCTAGGTAATGTCGTACGAAAGGATAAAAATACTTTAGCTTTGAGAGCTGTATCCTCGGGCGAAGCAGAGGAAGATCTCCACTCCGTTGGAAAGACTAGCTGRAGAAGGACCTGGCTACCTCTTTGATTTCAAATTGGCGCCAAATAGTGAAAAGGAARAACGACTGGCGTTCTGTTATAAACTCCGCTATAACCGCATAAGTGTTATCTACGCCAATAAAGATGAATAAGAATGATTATGTGGTACTCAAACCAAAATCTATAGCACACAAAATCTCTAGTTAAAGCCATTCATATAACGACCCGTCACTCTCTTATAATACAACCCTGTCAGAATAAGTCGTTTCATGAAGAATCTTTAATTCTATATAAAATATGATTCTTAACTACAACTCGTTTTTGGGCCGTACCCTTAGACGATCGGTAATTTTTACAACAACTAATATCTACTCTTGTTTACTGCCTAATACACTAGCTCAAGTCCTTAAAATTTGCTTTGACTGTACTAGCAATTGAAGGACTGGAAAAAAAAWTTTTTTTTGAATAGCTTATCTGACCTCAATTTACTACTGACAAAAAAAAATAAAATTGCTGTCCAACAATATAAATATTTTTAAATAGCTATGTCATTACTTCAACAAAATAAGAGCAAATAATATTTTTCGCAATCCGAATCTAATGTACAGAGTGTTCAATTTAGCGGGAGTGAGCTGTATTGTCATGCATGTTTATTAAATTCATTATATATTGAAGCATAAGTTTAGGCGCCAAAATGCCATATTCGCTCTTCTGATTGCACAATTTCCAACCGATTACTCACATCAGCTATTTGCTTTGATTCGTTTGGGTAATGAGTTGTTGGTACACACACACAAACTTTAGATTTGCATTTAGCAACCCATTTGTACACAACAGCAGAATTTGAAACATGTTCTTGCTCGAAGTAGCCGAACAATTTTTACATATWTGAGCCCAGTGTGAAAGTGGTCAAGTTGAAGGTGAGGCAGTACAGCGAAATGTTATGAACTTTAATAAAATAAAAATATATACAAGTATTCAAATGTTATGGCTTATGGTGTTATTTATTAATGAAGCTTGTTGGTAAATTTTGCATTTCTRGAAAAAATATATTTTTGGAAGCTTGACTTTGCTAATGTTTGTATGCAATGCCATCTATTGTACATATTTAATACAAATATCTCTTATTATAGTATATATGTGAGTGCAATATATTTTTTTCTAGTGGCGTATTTGTTCATCTTTGGCATTTAATACCAAAATAGACGTATCTACATATGTATATACACATATCAGCGGCAATCATTTTAATTTATGCATAGATTGTGAAACAGTTATTTATTATACAAGTAAATATGTTAATCCTCAATTGTACGCCAAGATGAACATAAGTATACATGTGTGTATGTAAGTGAATATTAGCGCCGAGATTAGCGGCWTTTAATTTAAATGATAGCTTATCACATTAATTACGTTTTAGTTTAATAACAGGCGAATTAATTATTTCAAACATTAGTTGAATCGATTTCAAGTAAAATTCACAGAATTTACATGGCACCTCAAAGGTCCGGTAGAATAACAGAGAGCAGCATTTTCAAGTTCATTTAAGATTGCTACATATTCACATATTTATTTACTATTATTATACTTTCATATTTATATAAATATATRTTCATAGTGTAGCAAATTTATGGAACAACATTGTGCAATAGTTTCAATGTTAATTATGGTGGTTCAAAAACCATGACCTGCTCAACAAGCTTCTAGGAAAATGTATTACCTTACTTTCAGTTTATTTGCAAACAAGAAATGCTGCTTTTTTTGTAACAAAAATACTGTTATATAACTGTAAATATGCGACTTAAATTTTATTAAGAAATCGGATATGTTGACCGATATAAGCTATAGAAACGGTAGGGTATCTAAACGGAAAACAAACACTATTTGAACTTTTTCCTCGAAATATTTATTTACTTCTCAATGAGCTAATGCAAAGTCAAATAAGTTGTTTGGATTACAAATCGTGTTAAATAGAAAGTGGTCGTGATCGGTGATCGTACGATTTCAAATTGAACTAAACAAATGCAAGCCAAGGATTATCAAGTGTTTGTACACGATGATCGTGCGACCGGTTATCACATATAGAACAGTGTCTAGGCCTCGAAAGCGTCGCAGACTTTGGCAGGACTTCGAAAGCTGCAACGATTTACCTGTATCTGTGTGTCGGTTTCCATGCACACACGTTCAACGTTGGCACTTGAATTATGCAGGATCTCATACCGCTTCACCTAGTAATCGGTCAAGTAGTCAAACATACACTGCTTCAAATGACAGCAGAAGAGTTTGGCGGACTTATGGTAATCGCTTCCCAGCATATGAAGGTCTTAAGTGGCGAAATACCACTGACTCTTCTCCCAGGGGACAACATTATCAAAAGTGTATATTTTATAAAGAAGTTCAATGTTACCCTTAGCAGGAAGGCTGAATGTTACGACACCGACGGCTCGAAAACGTCGAAAGGAACTAGTGCAGGAATAGTAGGACCACGCMCAAAACTCTCCATACCTATGGGAAGTTATTAATTAAGTGATAAGCTTTCATTAAATAGAAATAAACTCTCTCAGCGACAGTCAAGCGGCACCAAAAGCGATCTCAGCGTACGAGTTCAAATCGCTATTGTGGCAGGAGTTCACCTTATCTGRGTACCTGATCACAAATATATAGTCGGAGATGCTCCGCAGCTTCCATCAACATGGCAGGACCCGATCCTTTCATTGCGGATGGTCCCCATACGGTAAAGGAGCTACTACGCAAGGCTATTGGCATCAATTCCAAAAGAAACGATGCCAAGTTAAGATGAAGAGCAGCCTTAAGAGATTTAAGAGCTGCCGTGGGGGCGATTCTGCTTCGCTTCAGGCCCCGGGTCAAAATATCACACGTGTCATTCGGCAGTTAACAGTCAAACGAGTAATCGAAAATTGGATTCAACTGATGGATCACCTGAGACGTAGCCGCGGAACATTTGAAACTGATAAGCTTCAAAATGTAAATGTCARAGAATGTTCTTTTGAATGATAGTAAACCTTCCACGCTAAATTTGAAGTTTCTGTGTTTTTTCTTKAAAAAAGTTGGTATCCTCTAAATGGATTACCCTTTAGGACTCTTGTTTTATGCATAAACAACTAGAAAACTATTTTGTTGGAACGATAATATTTATCAGATTAAAAAAAAGTTGCGATTAGAACATATATTTTGTATATATAAAATAGTTTGATAGAATTAATGAAATATAGAATAGTATGCAGTTATACCATTATCATAAGAAGCCCAAAAAATCTYTTGTATTGAACTCTATTTCGTAAATGTGGTGCTGCTTTAATGTATAAATGCTAAATAAAAGTATAAGAAATGTCAATTGATAAGGCTCCCAATAAAGCCCATTATAAATTTAAGTTTTATATGTCAGCAAGAGTATTATTATTAAAGTTATTWTTTTTTTTTATAACAATCTCTTTACTTACTTTAACATCACCGAACATTTCGTGCAAATCATGACTTTCACTGCCCAAAGCAAGATGGTAGAGAATATCTTGATCCATCAGTTCAATGTTCGAATTACGCAGCTTTACTGTGCCATCGGAATATCTAAGCGAATAAAAGAATAAAAAATAGTTAATAAAATTTTGAAACTATTTTCTCCTTAWATTTATGTTAGTAGGAATCCAAGCCACATTAAAATGTTAATATTTTTTAATACTTGTAATCAAGCTTATTTAGAACACTCAAAGCAATTAAGTGTATATTTAGAACAATATTAAATRGTATATCTAGAAAAGGGTTTACATAAAAAGATAACAGTGCATCAATTTAACTAAAAGCAAAAAAAGAATTAATATTATAAAACAATTTACATTACGTACTAAATATTAAACTAATTTGATTTCAGAGGGTMCGAGAACCTTTCTATACGGCTAACTTGTGTCCCACAGCTTGTCAAAACTAACTTTTTGAAACTACTATTGAGAGATCATAAAACATTATAAAACATACCACGAAAAAGGACTACTTATTTTACTAAGTATGACAGTATATAAAATGCGTTTTTGTGAAATTGAAAAAAAAAATCTATTGCATAAATTCTCTACATTTTTTTGTTTAATAAAATAACATTACTTTAATATTTAAAGGAACAGTTATTTTATAAAACAAATCGTTCAACAAAAGATCAGTTATACAGAAGCGATTCTTACCTTCTTCATGGAAGAAACCCATAAATAAATATCTCTAGAAGATATTGTTTGCACAACAGTGTCCAAAAAATTGACAAAGTGATAACTTTTTTAAAAAAAATTGGCCAGCACTAAAAAATTAGCTAGTTTTCGGCGTGCCAAAACAATTTAAAGATAAATTGATTGAACTTAGTGCCTGAACATYACAAGCCTGTARCTCAAAAATTATTTGAAATACTCATTTGAAATTTTAGTATGAAATTGTTAAAGGTGCATACTATCGAAATGTGCAAAAAATAAGAAATAAATTGTTTTCAAAAATTTACGTTAGGGAGAGATTTTAGAATCGTTAATCACTTAAACCTTTAATATCCTGGTTAAGCAAAAAATAAATACCAAGATTATAATGAATTGAAGTATGAATACGTTATTATTTCTATAAAAAGGTTTTTAAAGTAGGTGTTGCTAAATTTTAGAAAATAGTAGCAAATAATGTCCAAAAATGTGTTCGAATATTTAATGGATTCATATTAATGATAATAATTACGCAAACGACTATGAACCGGATACGCACTATTTGTATATTCGGATTTTTCTTCCTYCCAGCGGATATCTTTTTTTTTATCGGAAATCTCCGATATGGATAACCGGTTTTAAATTTTCAGTACAACCCATATAGATAACATATTATTTCAATACATAGAAAGTTTTGGATCTGAGGTATACATAACACGTTTTCCAGTCTTCGAATACTTTTCATAAATRCATTTTGGGATGGTCTTCAGCMCCTTCAGCGAATTTTGTTTTATCTCGGATCGACTGAAAACGAGTYCTACGGAGAGTTAATTTGACTTTGGGGAAAAAGAAAATCACGTGGAGTCATTGGGCTTTTGGCTTTAAATTCGGACACAATCGTGGCTCGATGCGATGGTGCATTATTATCGCGTAAAATCCATGACTTGTTCTTCCACAATTTCGATGCTTTTCGACGAATGGTCTCACGCAAACGCCTCAATACGACCAAATAGAACTCCTTATTGACCGTCCGCCCCACCGGTATAAATTYATGATGCACCAAACAACAAAACTCGAAAAAAAAACAAAGAGTCATCACCTTGATTTTTGAGCGCCTTTGGCGGTTTTGCTTTTSCTTTCGACTGTTTTTTCACTCTCCAATCCGATGATTGTTTATTTGTTTCATACCCAAAATATCCACTAAAATCATTCGAACGGACTCGCCAGAGATGTCGAGGTCTCATGCCATCTCTCTAACACTTGCTTGACTATTTTTAAGCACCATGTCTTTCACTTTTTTTTGAATATGTTTAACAGTGCTTAACAGATGTCGAATGACCTCCCGAACGAGGCATGTCTTCAACGATCTCTCGAACATCTTTGAACTGAATCTACGTAAGCCTTTTCCAACATTCGCAACGATTCCACACATTAAATTTGGTTAGAAATACAAAATTTTATACAAATTCATTGTTCGATATTTTTATCCATTGTCATAATCGAAACGCACTACTGGTGTATCGACTTAAGCAGCTGCTATAAACAAACTTAAACGAGCAWTCGCGCTAGTATTTGGCATAGTAATTAAGTACAATCTAGCCAACTTAGCAAAATATTAAAAACAAATTATTGAAATATCATTTACCCGGGGAATTCAGCTACAATTTCCGGATGCTGTTTTGCCACAATATATGTTATTAGTCATCTCAGATCTCATTTGTGTATTACAGGAATCTTTACTTAACTAAGTACGTAGTTGTTACGCAATTCTCATTTAATATTTATTTGCGGGTACGAATAAACTATAGTTTTATAATAACATTTATATATTTATTTGTAGAGTTCTAACTAACAAAACTTATTGTAAAATTATTGTGAAACAGTTGTTCACTYAAAACGAAAATATTTTTGCAAATATGGAGCGTGAAATCAAACAAAAAACAGCTGATAAGACATACTGTATGGTATATATGTATATATAAATAAAAATATGTAAATACACTATACTCTATAAAGAAATTTTTATTGCTTGAGCAACAGTTCCGTTATATTTCATAAACTTGWCATTGATAACACTGTGGAACATTTTTGGGATTATTGTCGGGGGGGGTGAGAAATTCCAAGTCAGGGTGATGGTACTAGGTCAGTATAGTAAAACTCTCAAATCGTTTGCGTTCGTATGTGTCAGCTTTTTATGACCTTTTAAATTTTTTCCTTATCGCTTAGTTGTTACATTTTGGCAAAAAAAAAAAAGCAAAAAACCATTTCCGAGAATGCTCTTAACATCCTTGCGACAGAAATATCGTAGTTGTTAGAACGATGCTTTCCCAACAAGCCTTCTAATACTTCTTTGATTGCCTGCCATGCATTCAATTCAGCGTCAATCAAAATATTGTTGAATGCTCCACTTTTAATCAGTTTTCGTATATCTGGACTATTTAGTACGCCTGATTGGAAAAAATTTGTTTTGTCAAGATGGAAAACCATGGGAAATAAGGAAAAAATTTAAAAGGTCATAAAAAAAAACTGACACATACGAACGCCAAACCTAGTACCATCACCCATCTCACTCCCCAGACTAGCTGTTGTACTGTGTAATGTGTAGTATTTCAAAACACTCATTTCAAACTCATTCATAATCGGCAGCAAACACCAGCAATGTCATTGAAGCACCAAAATTCATGACATAGGAAAATTTCCAAAAGCAGCGACGTATGCTTGAGGCAATAAACAATTCAAAATTGATAAAAACGAAAGTGTAAACGGAAATRCTAGAAATTCTACAAACTACTGCCAAATTTGTACGTACATAGATAGACTTATATGCACATTAGGGTGGTAAAAAAAAAAAAGTAATGAAAACCTGAAATCTCTTAATTGTTACGCTCTCACTGTTTCACATACGGGCTATAAATTAATACTAGAACTTGAACACCAAGTCAAAAAACGCACTTGTTAACATTTTCAGTAATACTGTAGGTATTTTTAGATATCAAATCATATTAATCATGCTTTTAAAAACTACTCGCGCTCCTAACTGTTAATGTTAATTTTAATAGTTGCCCTTGGCCTTTCAATTACTTATCAGCTAATTAGGGCGACACACCCCCCTTGGCGAATATGTTCGACTAAAAGATAAGAAAACTTTCATTTTTTTTTTTTGTTTATAATGGCAACGCGATAAAGAAACCTATACATATAGATATGTACTAGAAACGTGGAATGATGACGCGGGGCAGCAAACAGGTCACACATTCGATAACAGTAAACGTGTGATTTTTTATGTGCGTATGAATAAATGTCCGGAACGTCACAGTTTTTTCGATTTATGAAAATTAAGTACTTATGCMCATACATATGTAAATGATAATGGGTATTTAAATATTGATGTTAGCAAATGAAGCATGTAGAATCTTCAGGCATAACTCGGTGGATATTGGCGGTTTGACAAGCACCGACTGCATGACCCCCCATTTCAACTGGGAAATAAAGGTCAAAGTAAAAATAGACGCAAAAGGATGTTAGCTGCGCGCAACAATCTAAAAATTTAGGCAGTAACCTCGTATCGCATATCGGCTAGAAGTGTCTTGGGAAGTAGGGCAGCAGTGGAAAGTGTTGCCAGAAGCAAGCAACTTCACTTCTACTGGGTGCCAGGTCACAAAGGCATYGAATACAATGACATATTGGACGAACATTGAGAAACCTATGCATTCTCTGGACAGAGGCATAGTAAAAAAAATCAAAACTCGATGGAATGAATTACTTGGTGCAAAACTGCAAAAATCATGTGCAAAAAGGTAGCTCGGAAGTGCACAAAATTTCCATTGGCACTCGATAGAAGAGTCTATAGTAACATGATGGGAATACTAAATGGTCACTGTCTGGTGGCGACACCCACTCGCAGAATGGAACTGAGAGTTCGAGAAGACTGCACGAAATGTCTAGAGCAAGGCACCAGGGAAACAATGGAACATCTCCTGCGTTCCGCATTGGCAAAACTATGCTGTAAGCATCTGGGCAACCCACGGTATTATACATTGGAATACGTATGGGATGTTAGAGTCTGTTGAACTTCATGTCAAGCGCAGGCATCCTAGAGAATGACTACTGGTCATGGATTTATTAACTAAACTCCACCCTACCTACTGACCTACCAGACTAACCTAACATAACCTAACATAACCTAATAATTGTGCGATAGATAAGGTCACTGATCGATTTTGGTTTTTGCCGTATAGCATAAAGCATAGAAAAGATAAATARAGCCATAACACATGAAAATTCATATTAATAAAAAATTGAAATTATTGCTAACGTTTTGCATTCCAATAATCTGATGGAACTCGGTTGTTTATGCGTATTTCTCATTTATAAATTATTCAGAATTTTCAAMTGTATATCTTTTAAAGAGTGTTGACATAAGTAACGAACATTTAAGRAAACATTTGTTCTTAAATAAACTGATAAACCCTAATAATGAGGATCAGCGTCAATTCTACGAATTCCGAGTAACAAGATGCCGTGAAATTACTTTTTTCATAACAAATAAGCTACTGAAAAAACTAAAAAGGGGAATTAACGAAACTTATTTGCAAATATTACTCATTTTACAACARCAATCAATTATTTTCTTCAATAAGAAACTGTGAGTGACAATAATTATCAGAATGACCAACTAATTTCTGAATAATTATCCTCATAACTATAGCTTGCACTAAAGGATAAGTTTAGTTTGACAGTTAAACTTTCATTTTCGCGAAATACTCAGATATTTTTTTACTGCTCAACCAACAATTTGAAAAACTTACTGAGATATTATCTCAGAATCATATAAATGGTTCTACAAGTTTCAAAAATACATTCGTGATTAATATTGAGATTTATATTGCATTTTTCCTCACTAAGGCGGACTCCTCAGAAMAATTTCCTCGGAGATTATACCACTGTCAGAGAAAATAACCAACACCAAAGCTATACATATGTTATAGTGATCTGATTTAATAGACATTTCTTTAAGGAAAAATCTCAACTGTCAGACAGCAATGTACTCRGTATTTAATTACAACTTACAACTCAACTATCTTCAAAGTTTCGAAACTTAACAGAGGCTTAAAGTTTGGGAATGTTGTCACTGCATTTTCAGAGTGCATAAATTGTGAAAAAACATCTGTAAATTGTAATTAAATTTCCCGTGTAAATGATATTTCAAAAAAATGTATTCTACTCAGTTGGTAGGACTGACCTTTAATTTGGGTCAAATTTTGTATTTCCAACAAATTTCGGGTTCGGAATCAATGATTCAGTTTCATCAAAGTCTACGAGTGGTACAAAGCCTTCAAAGACGGTAGAGGGATCGCTGAAGATATGCCTCGTTCTGGACGACCTTAGACCTCTTCAGCTGATGAAAATATCTAAACAATAAATTGAAGGGTATGATGCTTGAAAATCGTCAGGCAAGTGTTAAAGAGATGWCAAAACAGCTCGACATCTCTCGAGTCCGTTTGAATGATTTTGAAGCATATTTTGGGTACTCTCGCTCGACTCGTCCAAATAAAGAGGATTTTTTTTTTCAAAAAGGGTGAATGAATACCATAGCGATGAACCACCGTATTCACCAGATTTGTCTCCGTGTGATTTGTTTTCGTTCCTCAAACTACAATTTCCGCTGGGGTCCCACGTTTTCTGACGAAGAGATAAAACAGAACTCAATGAAGGAGCTGAAAGCCATTCCAAAAAATTTTTATGAAAAGTTTTTCGAGGACTCTGGGGTATAACAGCTGGTGGGGAGTACTTTGAAGGCGACGAAATAAATATTGAYGACTAATTAAATATTTTCCCGGTACTTTTTTGTCACAATGTAAATACTACATATGTGGAAATAACGAATTTTTACATATCAAAGACCTCAGCAAGTTTGTTGCTGCTGCTGCCTTTGCTTCAGCTGCTGGTGCTGGATCTGCTGCCGAAAATAAGGAAGAAACCAAAATGGAGGAGTCGGAGTCCGAGGAAAATGACGACATGGGTTTCGGTTTCTTYGACTAAACAACTCAACACTAAAGTTGACATTAGCATTTGAAAATATATACATTAAGTGTGATTTAACTACAAAAAAGAATATTGGCAATTCAATAAAATACTGTCTAAAAGCAATTTAATTCAATTAGATTTGTTTTCATAATTAAAATAATCATATCATTCCATTAATCGAATTATCGTATGATTATTGATGGTTCATAATAGAATGTTATTCAGGATTATAAAATATTTAAAATAAAATAAAAAATAAATTTCTTGAATCAAATAATCATTTTAAAGTTTTTCTTTCGTAGAAATATGATAAAGTTTAGGCAAAGCGTATATTTCCACATAATTGACGTCATTTCAATAAATATTTTCAAGTTTATTATTTTTTGGAAGTTTTTGCTTTGCCGAGAAACATTAAAAAATGTTGATCTTTTCAGCTCCTCACTGCCGCTGGCAAGCATTTAAAGGCGAAATTAAGCACATAAACTTCAGCTATGTTTACTTAGTTGCGTGTTTAATACATAATAACATTAGTTAGCTTACATATCGGCACTTAACATTATTTTCTTTTTGAATACGTCGTCAATGTCAATTCGACCAGAACTGGTATAATTTTCGCAAAATAAAAACGGCCACCAATTAGCAGCATTTTTTATAATTATCGAATATACGCAAGCATCTACAAAATACATAATTGCTACCTGGTCCAAACACAAACACTAGCGTGAAATTCATACTCCTCCTCGTAGTCTTCATTGCAGCGCTTGCAATCCTCGCTATTTACAGCTATTAGACCAGTTGGTGGCATTTTTTTGTTTCAATATTTCACACTTGCTTTCAATTGCTTTTACAAAATTATTTTTYTTTTTACAAATTAAAATTGTTATGAATGTTTTGTTTTTTAGAAAATCACTTTTCAGGATATATTTTTAAACAACAGGACACTTTGTACAGAATATAAATTTCTGTAATATTTGCTYCAAATCAAATGTAGAGCACAAACTAGGTACACGATTACTGCCGAAAGCAACACAACAATATATGCGACTTAAACGCTTCAAACGCTCAAACTCGACTGATTAGTTTTCGCCGCGGCAAAACTTTTTTATTCAAACGTATATGTGTGCATTGTACATAGATCAACAATGCGGTGGGTCTACAAAAGAGTCAAAAAGAAATCAATCATGTGTTCGTTATATACATATGCTGACAATAAGAAGAGGTACATATTTGGTTCCACCGCATCACTACTGTGTTCGCCTCTCTGCAATATATGTGACCTGGTCTGCGAAAAGGGAGCTAACGTGCGAAAACTAGTTTTCTCGGAAACAGCTGTTAAAAAAAGAAGCATCTCATCTTCCATCCGAATCAACTAAAAAGTGAAAATTGATTTTTTGACACCTAAGCCCCCTTTCCGTAGACCAGGTCACATATATTATAAAAATCACCCTGGTTTTGTCACTACGCCTATCGCGCCGTATCCTGTATAAGAAGTCTATCAAAGGTTTTATCTGTCACATAATATTGGAATATCATTTAAGACAAAGACCATTCCACACAAGAGCAGGCCGTCGATGAAGCCGATTTTTCGTAATTAACCGATTTTTTTGTAAGCGAGTGCGAAACGAACATGACATTGTATAAAACTTTTGCAAAAGATGTTCAACAATACTGTCTGTTAATATATATCTGCATATACATATTTCAAAGTTAGAAAATCATACCAAATGAAAGAAGGTAATCTAAATGCTTTGCGATAAGCTGCAGAACTTCGTGTGAACTGGGTTTTGGTTGTTCGAATACGTAGTTTCTATAGTTTCTATGGATGCTTTCAAAGGTGTTTTTTTTTTTTTTTTTTTGTTAATTTTTTAATTAACCTTGTTGTGCAGATTTTCATTAGTTTGAATAGTCCAATTCTAATCTTATTGGAATCAATATAGAACTAGTTCTTCTCGAACGAATTATCGTTTTACCACTATCGGTTTTGATTGATTACCTTTGTTTGTATTTGTTCGCACAGCTCTATGGTTGAATAATCGCTATTACTTTGAGCCGGCAAACAGCTGTGTAGATTTTCTGTTCTATGTATATCCACATGAAAACAGCTGGATTGTTATTTAACTACTTTTAATTGGTCTTTTAGGGGTTGTATGAAAAAAAATACTCAAGCCAGAAGAAGTTCCATGAACAAGCTCTTATATGTAGTTCAGAACACGGTTGTACAATTATGCTTTTTAAGATAATTTTTTTTTCCTTTCGCATGGCTTTGTTGTAAACTCTACTATAATAATTATTTATGTACCTAAAATCCAAAAGGGGGGTTTGACCAACGTACACCGCAGAAAATCGTTATGTTCCGAGTATAAATACTTGTATACCATTTTTCTAAATGCTGAAAAACCTCGTAACGTTTCTTTAATGGTGACAGTTTTAAATATATTATTTTCGAAAAAAAMTTCGRAATTTTTCGAAACMAGTRTTTTAAGTTATGCCGATATTGCTGAAAATATAACTSCAGCTGTTCATAAATGTAAAATTACTTTGGTGCTAGAAAAATAAACTTATGGATCAATCAGCTTGTAGTTGCCGAACGCCGCATCATTAGCCGCCTTCGATTCGTTACTTCTCCACTCGATATGCTTSAACTCCGCTGTTTGTCAAAAGCTCGACTAACGGTATATACATACATATATGGTACATATATAACGGACTAGACTCTCAGTTTTTGATATAAAGAGCTGTAATTTCGCTCAYGTTTTTTCTCTCTAAGAAGCTGCTAATTTGTCAAAATCGCCGATATCGGTTTGGTTAGATAACATTTCTGTTTGACGAGATATCTTTACGAAATTTGGAATGAATTATTTCTCAAGGCTACACAATAATTTCCAAAGTAATTGTTCAGGTTGGATACTATAGCAGATATTTTCACGGAATTGGGCTTGGACCCAAGGAAACGGTCCAAAGAWACTATTCAGATCGGATTACTAAGCTATGCAAACTGATCAATCAAAATCCAGTCAGATTTGGCGAGATATCTTCACGGAATTTGGCTTGGSTTATTATCCAAGGCAATGRTTYCCAAAGAAATTGTTCAGATCGGACTACTGTAGTAAAAAGCATCACAATCTGGCCGATCGAAGTCAAGTTCAAGATATTTTTATTAYCTTTTTCTCGTTTTTTTTWWTWA